GATCAGATGATTCTGATCCGAATGATGATGATGAAGATGCAGCAAAGTATGGTAGAAGAACAGGAAAGGGACCTCAATGCAAAAACCTCATGGCTGAGAGGAAGAGAAGAAAGAAGCTTAATGATAGGCTCTATACTCTTCGAGCTTTAGTCCCTAAAATTTCTAAGGTATATAGTGCGGGACATGATGAGACAGTACGATGGATAAGATTTTCAACTTCATTTTCTTCCTTGATACTGTATACTCTTTTGCAGTTGGATAGAGCTTCTATACTTGGAGATGCAATTGATTATGTAAAGGAGTTGCAGAAACAAGTGAAAGAACTCCAAATTGAGCTCGAAGAACATTCAGATGATGAGGACGCGAGGAAAACATTAGGAATAAACAGTAATGACAACAATGTCCAACAAGGGGTTATGTACCAAGCAGGAATGAAACGTGCTGCTAAATACGAACAGGAAAATTATTTGAAAGTTTCTCAGGGAACATCTGCCAATGGTGGCATTAACATCTCAAAACAGAACCACGATTCAGAAAATACGAATGAGAAGCTGCAGCTGCAAATGGAGGTACGTATTACGACTAAATTGCATGCAAATTTCAGTTAACTTTTTCTTCTTTGTATATGTTATACTGATCATGAAAGGAGACATTAACAATTGTAGCCGCAAGTGGAAGTCTTTCAACTAGATGGAAATGAGTTATTTGTGAAGATATTCTATGAGCACAAGTCTGGTGGATTTGTGAACTTGTTGGAGGCTTTGAATTCTTTGGGCTTGGAAATAACTGATGTGAACACAACTAGACATACATGTCTGGTTTCAAACATCTTCAAAGTAGAGGTAACTCAATCTTCTTTTGATGATTATATTTATACGAGATTTTAACTTTTTGGTCTCTTTCTTTGCCTGTTACAGAAAAGGGATAGTGAAAGAATTCAAGCCAATCATGTCAGAGAGTCGTTGCTTGAGTTGACACAAAATCCGTCCAGAATGTGGGCTGAGATAGAGAAAACATCAGAGAATGGCAACATAGGTCATGATTATCATCATCGCCACCTTCATCACGACTACAGCCATAGCTCCCTCCTCCATAACCATAACCACCAAATGAATTCTCATCCAGTGCAGCGCCTCCGCCACTAAGTAATAATTTGGGGGTGCTTCTTTTTCTCGTTTTCCTAGTATAAAGCAGGTAAAAGACCTGAAAACTTGTTCCACAATAAGATGAGACTGCTTTAACTCATGGCAAAATTCAGAGTACCAAATCATTTGTGATGGATGAAACAGATCCACAAATATTACTTTGTTTATCCAGGCAAAATCCTATCAAACTGCAATGGAATTCCATCATCATAAAGCTTAGAACAAATCGCATGCATAGGAATTTGCCAGAATTTTTAAAATTGGGCCTAAGACAATTGGTTGCATATTTATTGGATACGCCAATAATAGTAATGCATATCGATTTCTTGTTATTCAAGACATACATTAAGGCACCATAATTGAATCGAGAAATGCTTTCTTTCCCAATCTCATTACGCCGAGAGTATACTTAAAAGATTTAATGTATATGAAGAAAGTCGAAAACTCCTATTGATCTAAGTCTACACTTAGTAAAAATAAGGGTGAGCCAGTGCCTCAATTAAAGTATTCACAGGTTATAGATAGTCTAATATACATTACGAACTGTACTCAATCGGATATAACATATGCTATGAATAAACTTAGCAGATATACTAATAATCCAAGCAATGATCACTGGAAGGCATTGGATAGGGTACTTCGATATTTAAAACATACCTTAAAATTTGGATTACATTATATGAGATATCCAGCAGATCAATCGGTTATAACATATGCTATGAATAAACTTAGCAGATATACTTATAATCCAAGCAATGATCACTTTAAGGCATATAATAGAGTTCTTATATATCTAAGATACACCTTAGACTTTGGATTACACTTTCAAAAAATAATCTGTTGTATTGGAAGGATATTGTAATGCAAACTGGATATCCGATACAGATGATTCTAAGTCTACTAGTGATGATGTTTTTGCCATTGGTGACACTACTAAGTCTTGGAAGTCCACAAAACAAACTTGTATAGCTTAATCAACAATGTAATTGGAGTATATAGCTTTAGACAAAGCTAGTGAAGAAGCAAAATAGCTCGTAACTTTTTGGAGGACATTCTATTTTGGCCTAAGCCGGTACCTACAATAAGTATACATTGTGATAGTCAATCGGCTATTGAAATGGCACAAAATAGTATGTATAATGGTAATTCTAGACATACACTTCGTAGAGACAATACAATTAATCAATTGTTCTCAAATGATATTATTTCCATTGATTATGTGAGATCAAAGAAAATATTGCAGATCCGCTTACAAAAGGCTTACCGAGAAATCAAATGTATTGCATATCGAAGGAAATGTGATTAAAGCCTACTACATGTGAGTATTTGTAATAATAATCCAATCTCATTGATTGGGGATCCCAAGATTTTGGTTCATTAAGACAACTAAGTTATGAAGATCAGGCCAAAAGTCCAACCCAACATAGCTAGATAAGAGACGTTTTCAATGAAGCACTTAAGAAATAATTCCTATTCATTCTTATAATAATCGAAGTGCTTTTTGCAAAATGTTAAAAGATTAAGCTACGCTTTTAATGATTCTTATAACCTGATTAAGTCAAGTGAAATATGTCATAATACTCTCAATAGGAGGTCACCTATGTAAGTGAGAAGTAGGTCGCTTCTATGAGAATTTTTTAGGCAGAAATTATCTAAAACACTTATGACACCTAAGAGTGGTTCATAACCAAATTGAACACAATCATGAGAATTGAAATGGTTTAGTAAGGATATTGTGTGGATACTATTGTCTTCATTTACAACAATACCTGAATGGTTTAAAACATCTTGTTCACTAATTAGCCAAATAAATTCGATAGTATTTCACTAAGGAAGGTTCAAAGCTTGAAACTACGTCTCCAGATGCGATATCTTTCCACTTATCTCTCTACTAGTGCCTGCATTAACATTTGTATATCTGGTAATTTCCATTCATGTGGGGTATTATTCGAATTTGGTTGAGTAAATTAATAAAAATTGATTTCTATCAATTTCAGCTAAATATTTGGATAGGTTTCAATAGTCAAATCATGCAAGTGAATAGACTAACTTGTTTTGTTCTCCTCGTCAAGTAGATGATCAAAGTATACTTGGAATCTCAAAACCAATTATGAATGAAAGAAAAATTGTTATCCGAAGTTAGGAGGAAAAAGGAGATTTCAGCATATTAGATCGTCGCTCGAGCAGCAACCTAGTGCTCAGAGAGGGACGAATTGCTTGCTCTGAACGCTCGAGCGTCCAAACGGGTGGCTAGCGGGTGGCCTGGATGAGAAGTAGGTCGCTTCTATGAGAAGTAGGCCGCTTGTCTATTTGGCCACAACCCCTCAGCCTCTATAAAATGGACACCCTTGGTAGTCCATATTCATTCCATACCATGGACTTTGATTCTATTGTATTAAAACACTTTAAAATGTTGGTTTTCTTGTATCAAAAAATAGAGAAAATTCCATTTTGAAGTTCGTCTATTCCTTGAAGTTTAAAATGCTTCTACTGCAAGGATGAACCGTTATATCTTGGAGGACGATTGCCAAAACTCCTTTAGCCCTATTACAGGGCAAATTCCTCTTAAACATAGTGTTGAACATTTGCCTCGATTTTGCATTCATCATTTTTTATTTTTATTTTTATTTTTTATCTATCTTTATTTTCAGCAACATTATTTGCATTCCAAGTAAGATTACTTTAATTTTTGGTTTGATTTAGTTTCAAATATAATTTGCAAACGCACGCACAAATCCCAACAATATTCGGGAGAAAAAAAAATTTGTATTTTTGAAACGTCAAGAACAAGCTTAACTAGTGAAGGCTGCGACTCCAGTGTGTGTCAAATTACAAATTTTTTTATTCATGTCGTTTCCCATTGATAATCTTTCAAACGAAGGTTAAATTTCCCTTATTAAATTTTAACTTCTTTAGATAAGTTACCATAACACCACTTTTTTTTTTTAATTTTTTTGTGACAATTCCTTCAAGTTCCAAAAAGATGCCTCAAGATTATTTACCTGTATTGGGTTTGAATTTTTTGTGGAAGACCAGATTTCACATTGATCGTGTCAAGGTGGCAAGTCCTTGAATGGACAACAGATTTAACATTCCTATATTACCCCTGTTGGTCCCAAGGGCGGAGGAGGCTAATTTAGCCATCGTGATGCATAGATCAAGTATCACCAATAATTCGGAAGGTAATTGAGAGAAATAATGAAGTACTTAATTCAACTTCACAAACACGGCAAATTCTAGACTCATTTGTATAGCCAACCAAAATCCCTATGCAGAGATCAAAAAATTACAATAATAACATTAAGGAAATCTGACCTCTGGCATACAATGCTAAGTGAAGCTTTACTGGTGAAATGAAATCTAAAGGGGTCGATCCTAACCATACTCGATAACAAATAAAAATCAAAATAAACGAGAAAAATACAGTGAAGACAACAAAATAAGTAATAATTCAAATTTATTATGCAAGACTATATTTATATCCAAATTCATCCATAGCCAAAATGCAAAAATAATTGCAATTTCCATACATTGAAAATCGATTAAAGGATTAAAAAATAACTTAAATTCAAGTTAGAAATGAAAATTAATCAGCATTGGATGCCTCAATTCCAAAATTAACAAAACATTAAACTAGAGCTACAGAGCGTTCACGACAAGCTATAGCCTTTACAATATTCAGTGTTTAACTAATCAAAGCCTAAACAAAGTAAAGAATATATCAATTTGCACCCAGTTCAACCCATACCCTAGCATAGGATAAAACCCACCAAGAAAAGGGATAATATACAATTGTTATCTCTTACATCTGCAAAAGACACCCAAAAGCAATTTGCAATGTCCTTAAATAGTCTTTTATCTGCTATGAGGAAATTTATCCTCATAATTCTGCGGAAGCTGCATAACAAGAAATATTTCAAGCTAATGCCCAATTTCCAAGTGAATTCAGAGCAGAACTTAAAAGGAGAAAAGGGCATGTTACCAGAAATGTTGCAGTGATCATCTTTCCGGCAAACCATCTCCCATGGAGTGCCTGCTGTGCAGCAATTGCAGATTGAGTATTTTCGAACCTCAAGTATACAAATCCAGCAGTGTTCCTATTCGTCAAAAAGGGTGTTAGTTCAATGCACACCAAATTTCAACCAAGGGCATGTTTTTGGGCATATTTCTACATTAAATGCATTTCCAAAATGACAAGAANAATTTGATCAATTTTGACCAAATGAAAAAGGGCAAAATGATATTTTACATTTTCCCACATTAAATAGTTGAAGTAATTAAATATAAACCCACCCCCCCCCCCCCCCCCCAAAACCAGACACACACAATGCCCTTGCCAAGAAAAAAAATCTTTGCTACAAACAACAAACTAGATAAATATTTAGCCCAAGACCCCAGGGGTGGGGATATTTGCAGAGGAAATAAATAGGGGCAATAAAAGAGTTCTTCGAAGGAAAATTATGGTGCACTATTTTCAGGGTAAGATCAGAAGATCGTAACAGTTTGAATGGCACATGAACTTACCTATCTACATAAATATGCTTTAATGTTCCGAACTTTAAGCACTCATCTTGTACATCTTCTTTTATATCCAAATCAAAATCTGGTTCAGCCTGAAACAAAAATACATCTTAAATGACACTAGCAGAAGAGGTAAGCAAGGAAAATGTGCTCAACAAACCTCCAATTTTGGATCAAACATGTTCTTCAGCAACAGACATTCACTAGGAACACCAATGGTATCTATAGAAGGAACAGCAGCAGCAGCAGGAACCGAAAGACATGCGGCCGCCAACCCCGCAAGAGCAGGGACTGGGGCCTGTCCAAGACTAGCAATAAGGGGAGGAACTGCAGGAGCAACACCAAGAACTGGTGGTGTTGGCAAGGAGAGGCCAGGGCTATTAATAATGGGGGTGCCTAATGAACCTGCAATGCTGCAAACATAACAGATGTAAGATAAAATAAAAGTGATCTTAGAAAGCAATAACAAACAGGAAGATATTGAACCTTGAAGCAGTGCCTGTGCGATCCAATTTTTGCATGAGAAGTGCTCTCGAGTGTGCATTCAAGGACTGCAGACCGTTGAAAAAGCAGGTCAGCATTTTTTTGGTGAATGAAACACAAAAATCTCAAGGGCAAGAATGAAGAAAACAAGAAAAAATAGATAAGAGATTATATGCACTCTGAAATAAAAGATTATTATATATGAAATAATCAGAAAATACGTTAGGATGTCAAGCTATTCGATAAGCTATAAAATATTATTCATTGTATAAATACTCCCAGTTAAAAAGAAAATGAACCTTGCATGCTGAAGTGAAAAAATTATACTTGCAAATCCATTAGAACTACTATGCAACTAGTTCCGTTGTTTCCGCAAGTTTATAAACACTAATAATAATAAGTTCCTGACAATGGATAGGAAGCTTACCATCAGGTCTGTTACAAATTTCAATAATACACTGTGGCTTAGCTTGTGGGCCCAGCCACAGTTTACATGCATATAAAAAAGATTGAAAAGATTCTATGGGGAACAAGTCAAGTGGCCCATGACTCCTGTGTTTAGTTCATCAAAGGACCATATATCTCAAGAAGCTGATAGCTTGTATTGTTACATGTGTATTTTATTTTCCTTCCATCTAGCGTAGCGGCGAGGCCTGATGCACAATTTAAGAATATTATCGAGGTTCATATAAATGAATTTGGATAGAAGCTTCTAAAAATTTTATTATTATGTAAGAACAACTAGATGCATTTAATCTTTGCATCTCTATATTGGGCAACAGAAGATGATACAATGCAACATATTAAGCCTATGTTTGAGCTCCATTTTTCCCAAAATGCATTTTCAACACCACATTCTTCAAAAAATCACTATTCCAAAACCTATTTTCCCCAAAAAATGGGGATCAGACCGGGCCTAAGAACACATTGTCTACAGGGTGAAGAAACTTATCATAAGCAAAAAGAACCGAACAAAATATGGTTTAGGGTCTGCTAATACTCCCAAATAAGTGGCAACTGACCAATCCATTGCCTTCAATATCATCAAAATCAGCAACATTTGCCCCAGCATCTTGCATTCCAGCTTGATCTGTAACAGCAGAGACCTACAGATTGAGAAAAGCAAAAGTGAGAGATTACCAACATGAGCAAATCTACTCCAAGAATTTCTGGTAGAATCAGATATATTGTACCCATACACAGTGTGCAAGCAAAGAGGATTAAATACAACAAATTACTACAATAGAGAATTACTTGTCAATTTGTCAAACTTGCTAAAATTAAATACTTTAAAGCTATGCCCTTTATTTATAAGATAAAACCATGCATGTAAACCGTTTAGAACTTGATCCATCAAAGCTGGACATGCTTCGTTTGTAGTACAAAGATATAGAACTCAAGAATGCATAAAATTAAAATCGAGAATGTTATATCTGAGATTATTTGAGATACAAAATCTATCAAAATTAACTGAGAAGAAACACAGATTGCTAAGCATGTCTAAATCAATTCCATGTCACAACTATGGCTGTTCCAGAGATGAAGCAATTAACTTTGCCAAAATCAATATGATAGACCATCAATTGCATGTACACAATATGATCTGTTTATAGTTAAATACGCAGATGTCCCTGAATCAATAGACTACATCCTAAATGTATCACTGTATAACCTTCTCTCACCAAAGTTTCCATAATACTTCCTTCCCAGCCAACTATTCCTTTATTATACAAATCCAGCGACCATCAATACTATTGAGTGGTGATTCTAATTACCAGTAAAAAATAAGCTCAATAATACCTAAATACACTTTGGACCAAAAAAAAAAAACAGAGGTCTACTCAAAATGAGACCATGTCATAACGTAAAAACAAAGGTCTATCACAATTTTTATGGATCTCATCTCCCTTGGAAGTAATTGAATATAAATGAGATTAATGTAGTATATAGAGTTGAAGGCAAAGGAAATAAATTACTGAAAGTTTCATTACCTTGATTACTCGACCTGCAATCTCCAGTTGCCCGTTTAAATTTTGTGCAGCCTTAGCATCTTCAAGACGTGCAAACTGCAAGGGAATCCACAGGTTGAAAAGGTTCTCACGGAATCTAAATTCAGAACTACTGTTATGTCACGCAAATATCATGTCTGACAATGGTTGTTTCTACCCCAAAAGCAGATTTTCTTTGCAACTAGAACAGCAAACTAAACAAACAAACTGTCCTCAGAATGCTTCTATTAGAAGATATCAAACTCACCTGTACAAAACCATAACCTTTGCAATTGGCAGTTTCAGGATCAGTGGGCAGCTGCACCAACTCCACAGAGCCAAAAGGTTCAAATACCTAAATTTTATGTGCAATACATGAATCTCTTTATTGTCAAAAAGAAGAGCGGTCAGGACATGAAAAAACGAAAAGAGAAATTTATTAACTATGATGCACCGACATGGACACATGTCCGACATGACGTGTCGATATGCCGAGACGCGATTTTTCAAAAAAAGCATTGACACCAACACGTTGATTAAATCCTTCAAAATTCTTTATTTATATAATATAAATATAGCTTTATACTTGCTGTTACTTTTTCTCGTTTTTTTTTTAAATATGAGTACATATCTGTTATTTACTAATAATTTTGAGTTAATAATATATAATGTTTCTAATAAAAAAAAGAAATATGATGATAGTAGAGTATCCGAGTGTCGGTATCCGACACACGTCAGACACAGACAGGCTACCCTAGTTGAAATGTCCATGCAACAGATCTTATAAATGTCTCTAGATTTCCAGTCATATAACCTTGTTAACATCAAGCGCATAAATATAACTACCTGACGAAGTTGATTTTCTTTTATGGTAACAGGTAGATTGCCAACATATAGCTTTCTATCCTCCGAAACAACAGATGTAGAAGACTGAACAAGGTTCTTTTCAGCTTCTGATGGCTTAACCATCACTGGTACACCAAGTAGAGGTTGACCAGAAAGTGCTATCGCCATAGGAACTGACATTACATCATAAAATTCAATATACCTGCAGAAATAGAAATAAAGATTTGAAGAGTATCTTCCCAGGCATGCTTTATGAAGGCTGTATCGAACAAATCCCTCTTCAAAGTGTTAAAACATATATAATGCTGACATCTCACAGAAAACATAAAAATTAGTGACACAATAATTGAGTTCATTCCAAAGGACAATGTCACTTGAATTCTTCAAGCATGACTCAAATCTCTTAAAAAGCCAAAAATTTATTCAATTCTCTCACACGCTACCAAACGTTGAACTACAAATCCAGAGCACGTGAAAAAAATCTTACAGGGAAAATTCCCCAAAACCTCTGGACAAAGACTGCTCATTGTTTTGTCTAACTCATTGCCCCTAATTATATCTCAGTGGTCTCTGTGTTTTTCAACTTTGATGTTTAATTTCAGAAAATGCATCCAAAAAGTTAACAAGAAAGGTTATTGTGGTCATACTAAATACACAAATTTTATTGCTAGATATGACCGTACCATTCACATTGTCCCAAATTCTGCTCACTCCCCACTCCTGTGAAATATTGTTCAAAGATATTGTTGCTTGACCATATAACTTTGTCAAGATGACAATTGATAAAATCAAAGTAACAAGGATCACATATTTGAGAAAGAATAAATAAATAGGGAAGGAAGGATAAGTATTTACCCAATTCCTTTGGAGCGTCTGGAAATGCGGTCCATGATGAGGTGTACATCTCTGACCTGAAATTGTCAAATGTCATCAGAAATAAACTTAAAGAGAGAGAAAAATACTAGGACTTCTGCAATTAAAATCCGATGGTGCGTATCATCAAAAAGGTAAAATGGTGCAGCAATAATTTAAAGCACTTAATATGGACGTAATCGGCAATGAACAAACGCAGACAAAAAAACTACAATACGTTAACATATAAATTAAAACGTAGGAGATCTACCACAGACAGTTTACATATTAACAAAATATGCCACAACACAAAATATCAAAACAATATAGGTCAACCTTGCCAGCCTTGGAGAAGAATTCAAAGATATCTCTTTCAACTGCCTTCAAAGAAATCTGGAAATTGTACCAGAGAACGTGTGAGGAAACCTCAAGATATAAGCCTAGTATAGAAAGAAAAGCTTGATTGTATAGTTCAACTACCTGATAAGCAAAAACTGTCCTTTGATCTCGTTCAGGGTCCGCTTCCGGCTTTTCTGCTTCTTTCTTTTTCTCTTTGTATCGTCTGTACAAATCAATTAGAAAACAAACAAATTATGTCAAATACCAATTGACCACAATCACTGATAAATTTGCTAATTATGTAATGAACAGCAGCCTGGAACATCCACATCGCAAAGTTTGAGTGAGTGCTTTGCTCCTTAATATACATAACATATGCAGAGAATTCCTCACTCATAAAAGGGAAAATCCCTAAGGGAAGCAAGAATTTCTTCTTAAACTGGTCAAAACCATGTATCATACTCCTGCATGTCAACTCCATAGAGTCAACAAACTGTACTTAGGTTTGCATTTGGTCAAAACAAGAAACATCTTGATGAGAAAGCAATGGACAAACCTGGGGAACAAAGTAGCAATTAAGAGAAACGAACAATGAAAAACTGCAGGCATTGAATAAACAACAGGCTTGTCCCTTCTATGCTGAACCTAATTTTACATTTTGCACCATCATATTAACGAGCAAATTTAATCATAAATGCTGGAAAATATATTGAAGTAACAAAACAACCTAGAATAACCAAAAGAATTGCCCCAAACACTCTTAACATACAATTTTTTACATGCACAAATATAAACGAAGGTATAAACTATAGCCAAAGCAATCAAGCACGTCCATCAAATCTTTAAAATGTCATTTTTACCTCAAAAGCAGGAAGAAGAAGAAAAATAATGTTGTGTAACTTCTACACAATTTGACCGCTTGACAGAGAGACTGCTAACGGAATGAAATATCCATCTAATGGTACACTAAAAATGAGCCTAAAATTCAACTTCACCCAGTTGAAATTTTTAAAATGTGACAACCATGGTAACACTTGTTTCATTCGACTTAAATTAGAAGCTAGCAACCCTATGAATATAAAAATGAAACTAATACATACAGAAACACGAACCAATACGAAATGAGTAAATAAGAATAAGGATGTAAGTGCGTTGCCGGAATCGAACCCATGTCTTTAGCTGGAAGGCCAAGGGTTACAGTTGAAGTGGATTCAGCATTCTATATAGAATGCATACAACCTTTTCCACGTGTTGGCATACATCCATACAATATGTACATAAATATAAGCTGCCACAACAGAAAAATGAAAAAGATTTCCATGGGAAAAAAATTAAAAATAATATTATAGAAACTCCAACATAGAAAGCCACAAAATAAACCTTATTCTACATAAGCATTCCTGGAAATGAACTCAAAATAAACCTTATTGTACATAAGCATTCCTGGAAATGAACTTTGAAGAATAAGAGACATATACATACATCACCATCTTCACACGTTACAAGAAATTTTGAACTCGATAAAGCTGTTTGTAATTGGAATTCTTTCAATTTGTGACATGAAACACCACAAAGTATTTCCACCCTATTGCAGCGGATAATAATCAAATAAATAGCTTGTAAAAAGCATAAACCAACAGCTAGACCATCAGAATTTTTCCACAGGGTATTTATCAAGATTTAAGAGGTCAACCAACCAGTATTTAGCTTCAACTCCATTTAGAACAAGTATCTTCATTCAAAAATATCCTAAAGTGAAGTATTGGGTGAAATTTAACCATTTAATATGTTTCAACGCCAATTTCCTTCTAAGAAAAACAACAAAGATATGGCAGGAGCCAAATTAACGAAGAAAGAGTGCATAAACACCAACTTTATTTCCAAATACAGAAAAAAATATGTGCCCAATTTCCATGATTGATACACATGTTCAAATCAGTAAGTTCAATATATATACATAAAAAATAAATACTTTAAAAAAAAATTAAATATAGAAGAGCAGGAGCACTACCTGCTTTCATGATCGCGATCTCTAAACTCCTCCCTTCCTCTTTCCTTATACTCCCTGTCTATACTCCTCTCCACATCCCTACTTCTCTCCCTCTCCCTCTCCCGATCATCACGGTTTCTTTCTGAATAACTTCTGCTCCCCCTCGACCTCTCGCGCTCCCCCTCCCTGTCTCTCTCTCTTCCATATTCATGGCCATGCTCTCTCCTGTCCCCATCGCGATAACTCTCTCGTTTCTTGTCAATGTCCCTCTCTTTGCCCCTTTCTCTGTCTTTCTCTTTTCCACTGCCCTCTTCCTTGTCTCTGTTTCTGTGATCCCGCCTATGTTTATGTCTATCATTGTCACTCATCTCCCTATCTCTTGAAGATGGGAGATTACCTGAGCTCCTTTCTTTCCTGCTATCATGAGACTCGTCCTTTGACCTTGAATGTTTCATCTGCTTATCCAAATCATTGTCATTACCATCCCTTTTGTGCTTTGAACTTTGACTTCTATCTCTCTCTTTGGATTTCAAACTGTCCTCACCTCCATTCATAATCTCCTTTGACTTTTTAGGTTCTGGATTTTCCACCGTATTCTCTAAATATTCATACTCGTCGAAATCCATCTTTGAAAACCTTAACTAATCAGGGAGAACCTTCTGCAACAAGCAAGTAGCAACCAAACTAGCAGTTATTAAAATCTCAAACAGACATTTCCAGTAAAATAAATCCAAAAAAGAATTAATCACGAGTTTATAGCCCAATTTTCTTAAACACAACGCATCTTTTCTTTGTGGTTTTGTGATGCGGTACACAAATAAAGTTGTGATACTTATTCGGAAAGTATTCAAGATACCATAAATTGTTTACATAAGAGTTAATATTGGCACCGCTTGTTCATTAGAACTGAAACTTAAGCCAATACAGTATTAATTCGGGATTTGGCAACAGTATTACACGAAAAACGAAAGAGTACTGCTTTCAGAAGCGAGAGGGAAGAAAATATTTTAAAACCCTAATCTTCACGCGAGCAATCAAAGCTAGCAACTAAAATCATGACAGTAGCATAGCACTCAGCAGATTAACAAGAGTACGTATTAATCAATCGAGAAACGTTTACCCCTGAGAATGAGAGGCGTCAGTCTGATCTTGAATCTCAACTATTTAAGGGTTTTGTAGCAAAACTGGAATTGCAGAGAATTTTGGGGGGTCGATTGCACAAGAATGCTTGCTAGTTGCTTCTATACTAACGCGAAGGAAACGTCAGTGCGGGAAACGGGGCAAATTAGGCTGCAACTAGAGCGGATCCGGACCTAGCAGCCCAAATTTGAAATTCATCTACCAAATTTGGGCCAATATGAAGGCTAGATAGTTCGCCCCGTATTGCTTCGCCTGATAGACACAATTGAAAATTGAGAAAATTACATAATCTCGGGGTTTAAAGATTGGAATTAAAAAATCAAGGACCAAATTTCATTATTCAAAAATCAGGTAATATATAAAACCCCTAACCCTAATTTTCCGCTCTCTACTCCTTCCCCTCTCTCTCGCCTCCTTTCCTCTCCCTCATTCTCTCTCTCTCCTCTCATCCTCTCTACTTTCTCCCTCGTATAACAGCGCCATCGGAAGACGAGAAGGCACCAATGCCAACACCAACGCCACTAGAGCTTCATCTCTATTCTTCTTCTTGTTACTATAATCATTCCAATTATTTCCTTTCTCATCTCCACCTCCGCTGCCACCGTTGTTGTTGCCTTCGCTGATTCCTCCATTTCCTTTGCCGCTGGAGATGTTGGTGATATTGTCAGTGTTAGTGACTGAGGAATTGGTGGAAAATGGTAAAAATAGGGTACGGTGGTATGTGGGGTTTATAGTTATTGAGAGTGAAAAAAGGTGGGTTTCGTTGAGAAAGGACGAGGTATGGAAGCAGAGGAAGGGAGATGGTTGTGGAGTGAGAGAAAACGCGGTGGTGGTGTGGTGGAGGTAATTTGGCGGAGATCGACATTTTGGTCGTGGTCCACGCCTTTGCACTGCTCTCTCTAAATATTTTGTTTTTCTTTGTTTTGTACATGGAGATTTTCTTTGTTGGTGGTGTTGGCAAGAGGTGGTGGTGGGTGGTGTGATGTGATGTGGTGTGGTGGAGGTGGTTGTCAATGGCTTTGTTGGTGCTGTGGAGGAGTGGTGAGAGTGGTGGAAAGTGACCATAGTGGTAGTGGGGGTAGTCTATGACCAAATGTTGGTAATCTGTGACCAAATGTTTGATAATTTGTGACCAATTACTCAACTGTAACCTAAAAATTTAATAACATGTGACTCAAAAATAATCTTTGACAAACTAATTTAAAAATTTGTAACCTCGAAATAGTCTGTGATAAATTAATTTTAAAATATGTGACATGTGACCTATAATTATTTATATGTGACCACTAATTATATAACTATGATCTTATTATATTTAATTAGTAAATATTTTTAATTAATTAACTAAAACCTGATTTTTGCAATAGCCAAACTGAAAACCTGCTTTTTAAATTATGTATAGTTAATACCTTACTTTTGAACTTTTCCCTTGAAAATTACACCTACACTTGATTTTTAACTTTCAACTTCAAAAATTAGGTTTGCAATTTATTTATTCAAAAACTTAGGTCATAATTCAATTTTTTAAATATTAATAATAATATTATTATTAATTAATACATACATGAATATCTCTCCCGCCCCTGCCCCCACAACCCACCCACGACTCTCAATTGCAAATATCTCCGTTGTGAATTATCCCTCTCTATGAAATACATCATCTCTTATAATACAAGCTTTCTCTTTCTAGAAATACAAAATTTTCGACCAAGTTGGAGGTTAATGACTCCATTCCATGGGTTTTTGGGCCTTCTAAGTTCATTGGTAGTGGTCTCGTCGTCGATATCTGACCAGGAAGGTTGAATTGAGTGCATTAGGATGCATGCTCATGAATTGCAATGCAAATCTGTTGAATTTTGGTTTAAATCTGTTTTTGTTTATTTTTGTCGATTAGATATTGTTGATGTGTTTTATGTTGGTTTTAGCGACGAATTGAATGGCTTTTAGGCAGGGTGGTAGCTTCATGAGGGGCTAAAATCACCCTTTAGTTTGACCTCATTTCCCGCGATTGTTGCACACGTGGTGGGTTATGGTGTAAAAATCTGTGTGGGTGATGATTTTATAGTTGTGGTAGTGCATTGTTGGGGTTCAGTGATGATGGTTCAGATGGATGTACAAATTCGCATGGTGGTGGTGCAGTGGATGTACAAATATGCATGGTGGTGGTGAGATGACAATGATGTTTTGGGTGGTGTCGATGGTGGTGGGATAGGTGGGTGGAATGAAAAGCGATTATTACCAATTATTAGGTAATTGTGACCAATTATTTGGATAATTGTAATCAATAAAATAAGAAATTTGTAAATGCCGACAAATAAGTTGTGACCAATTAATTTGAAGATATATGACCGATAAATAAGTTATGACCAATTTATTTGATAATTTGTAATCGATAAATAAGTTTTCTAAAAATATATGATTTCTAACTAAGATCTTGTTTGGTATTTATTAAAATTTTAATCTAAATCAAAGTCAAATAATCAATATTAATCACGTATTTTATTGGTTCCACAACTTTTCAATTACACATTTTATCAACTTTTATCAAAATTTACTAAAAATCTAATTTTTAATCTCCACTAAACAATGGCTAAATCTGCAGTTGCGATCCACATTTTGTATCTTTGTGATTGTGAAGTTATGTTATTGTGACTAATACGTAAATGTGACAATAAATTGTATTTCACTTTGATCTTAACGTATTTAATTGCATATCTAATTGTTTAAGAACCTATTTAATTAGAGCATTACTACTTATACATAATTGTGTGATATTGATTTACAGATTGATGATGTGGATAATATTAACTAAATTTATTTTCTTTCACTTTCATGTGGATAATATTAACTGAATTTATCTTCTTTCACTTTCTTCTTTCGTTTTCTTTCTCTCACTTCCGCATTATTAATCTATAAATATATTAATAGCAGAAAACCTACTAGAAATGTTTTCATTTGTGATATGCCCACTAGCTATTGAAAATCATAGAAAACTCTCATATTTGAAATATTTTGTGCGAAAAACCCCTCTACCATCAACATCCGGTAGATTTTCCGTTAAAAATAGTAAAAAATGCCAAAATTAAAAAGAAATAATTGCAATTTCAGTACATAGGCCCGGTTTGTTTCGGATTAAAATCATATTTTAATTTAAGTCAAAGTCAAACAATCAATATTAATCACATCTTTCTTGGGTCCCAGAATTTTTCAACCACAAATTTAAAAAACTTCTATCACAGTCTACTAAAAATCTAATTTTAATCCCCACCAAATACCCACCTAAACTTTTACTTTTTACAAAATAAGTCCAAATGTTTTATATTTGTCGCCTAATTCCAAATCTTTAGAACTTTATTTTTCACCCTACTCCATTCTACCACACTTCATCTTCTTCCCCGAAAATATATTTTTTATTTTTCACATAAAAATCAATTAATTTAAAATAATTAAATCAAATATAAAAAATAAAACTTCTTCTTCTTCTTCTTCTTTTTCTTCTTCCCACCCCGCCCTCCAACCCTACGCACCAAACCAAAACCCAGAAAAATCCAAGAGCCAGGAGGCTCATGCTCATGTTAAGTGGACTGTACAAAGTTGAGTAGAAGCAAAATTGGACATAATAAATACCACCATTCACACTTTCCTTTTTTCTGGGGCGTATTTTACATGGTAATGTTTCAATAGAAGGTCTGACTACCAGAATTTGGTTAGCGAAGGAGGCTAATCCTCTCTACCAAGGAGGATTATAAACTTGCCTCGATGGAGGATTATAAACTTTTTTTCTGGTTAATAGAAGATTACAATGGGCTCATATCATTGTATCGTAAGATGGTGGACTACTCTACCTGGTTGGAGCAAGGCTAACACTGATGGAGCTGCTATTGGAAGTCACGTGCAGTTGGGTTGTGGTTGAATATTCAATAATTGCCGGTGTTTTACGAAAGGCTACTTTGCTATTCCATTAAGGATAAATCTTGCAAATGAGCCATTGTTTTTTCTCTTAAATTAGTTGCTCTTGGGTTTTTCTGGGTTTTGGTTTCGTGTGTTGGTGATGGGGTGCGTGGGGTTGGGGTGGGGGTGGGAAGAAGAAGAAGAAGAAGAAGAAATTTTATTTTTTGTTTTTTAGCACATATAAAACATTTGGATTTAATTTGTAAAAAAGTAAAAGTTTGGGTACTGATATTTCAATTTTTCCCTTTTTAATTTTGGCATTGTATGGATAAACATTTCTCTAGATCTTAGTTGTAGACTCCAACTGTGGTTCGATCTTTATGTAATCGACTAGTAGAGAGGTCACTAAAATTTATCTGGATAGATTAATTTTGTATGCAATGACTATCTACTTTTTTGCAGTAAAGAACTGCAACATATGTTTTGTGAAATTGCAATAGGTTTGATGTTGTCATGCCGTCCGTTTGAGGAAAAAAGCTATCATCTGTATATGCTCTTGATTACTTTTTTCATACCCTCAGTCGCTGGAGAACAA